TGCACAGACTTTTCCTGGTGCTCAAATTATCAGTCACACTGAAAGTCTACTCTGCAAAGAGAATTGCATAACAAATACATAATTTGAATTGGCCTAGCAAGGAAGGGAATAGCAGTTTTTTGTTCAAATGGAAAGTTTTAAATTGATCAAAAAAGCTTACTACTTACTGAATACAGCACAATATATCATATTTTATAATTAGTAACAAAAGGCACTATTCCATCATAAATGTTTTAAATCATAGCCCAGTCAACAATTTGATCTCACAATGATGTCACCATGAGCTCACATGATTCTCATGGTGTGGTCACAATGTGTGTGTCACAGTGAGCTAAAAGTGTAACCACACAGCGCACTCACTGTGTGCTCATACTATTAGTATGCTACTTTGTTGTCACCAGGGTTATTATAGTTAACTAAAACTTAAACCATAAAAAAAAACCGCTGTAAAATAAATGTTAACTGGAAATATAAATAAAACGTATTATTTTATGCCAGCTTTAACATTTCTCATTTTCACTTAGTTTAAACAATATATATATATATATAAGGAAAAGGAACAAAATTAATAAAACTTTAACTAAAATAAAAAATAAATAATTCAACATATATATACAATAATAAAATAACACTGTTTGTCAAATGACCTTACTGCATTTGTCACATGACCTCATTACATTTGGATGTTTAATTCAGAAGGTGTCTTCCATATATCATCTTGGAATTAATATTGATTATTTTTCAATTTTAATGTTTTTTTTTTTGTTTGTTTGTTTTTTTGTCTTTTCATTTCATGGTTTGATTAAATTGTGGGATACAAAATATGAAGTATGCTCTGTTGTATACTGCTCATTTTGTTAAGTAATGCCTAAAATTTACACTTAATATATATTGCAACAATAGTATTAGTAATATGATAATCTGATATTCCAAACATATAGTCATTAATATTCCTTTTAATACTTTTAAACAATTGTACATGATGGGTGCAGTGAGAGTTTCATTCAAACTAAGGATGCAAATGCATTCCCATTGCCCAGTGCAGACTTACATAAATGGGCAGCATCCATTTGAAAGACACTTGTATTTATTGTCATCAACATGTCATCAAACACTCCCAGGAGTGTCTATTTTTACGAAACAAGTTTGTAATGATCCTAAATTTAGACATCTCTTGTTGTGACCATGTTAGTATTAAAGGCCATTGTCCAGCCTCATGTCACATTGAAATCATCCTCTTTGAAAAATGACAGAAATGTCCACGCATCAGTGACAAAGCATTTTATGAGCTATACAGACAGATAATTAGGACTCTTAGGGACTAAAATAACATGGGTTCATTAATATGCAGTATTCATTCAGAAAATCGTGTAATTCTAATGCCACTAGCATTGGGTGTCAATTGAAAAAAGACAGGTTTCAAATGGAAATGTACTGATGAAGCACATCCTGTGTTCCTTTGAAAAATAGAACCTTTACCATTAAATGTTAAGTAATACGTCAATGCATGTTTTGTTGCATGATTCAGCTTGTGAACAGCAGTGCTTCACTGAAAAATTTACTTTTTGCTAGACCAAACGCTACACTCTCAGGGCAATGACTCATCTGCACAACAGATTCTGTTCAGATTTCACCCTGCATTTACAGTATATGAATGTGAGAAAAGAACAGGTCTTTGGTGGGCATGTTGAGCCCTCAGGACCTTGCGTGTGACACATTTTCTGAGATTTAATAGCTGACATTCGCATATAACTCGCAGGATGCACAGCAAAATCCCCAGAGTTAAATCAACTCTGCTCAGAGTACATATTGTCCCAATCTACAGAGTGTTAAAGTAACACTGAAGCCGAGTTAAAGTTAATGGGATAATTAAGCGATTGATTAAGTAATGATTGAACATTAGTAAAGAAAACCCACTGTTAACAATGTTGAAGATGAACAACTACTGCTCATGCTTTTAGACATGAAAACTTACCACACAATCCTCAACAGTGGTAACTCTGCTTCAGTGTTACTTTAACACTCTGTAGATTGGGACAATATGTACTCTGAGCAGAGTTGATTTAACTCTGGGGATTTTGCTGTGTGTGAAGGCTCATCAGATATGTGCTATTGTTCCCTGAGCTCAATAGACTGGGTAGACGGTCAGAGCCCGTAAGAGTGACTTGCAGTATATTTGAGGGCTAAAATTGATGTTTGATTGCCTGGGTTTAAAAGGTGCGTGTCACATAGATGAGACGATATACTATACATCTTTCTTATGCTGAGTTAAACAGTAGAAAACAGTAGAAAACCCCAAAGAGAAGAATTTATTCACAGGTCGCAGCTGCAGATAACTAAAAGAAAGGTGAAAAACGACAAGTTTTAGCTGAATAGCACCTAAACCAAAGCAATTGTTTTGAAGGATATAAATTGTCCTTTCCATAAGCAGAGGGTGAACCAACTGCAAGGTAAGGCTAAAAGTAGCCTAATCTATTATGTAGGCCTAATCTATTAAGTCTGTACATCAGAAAATCGTTTTTTTTTTTAAGTAAGTACCAGATATGGGTGCCACAAGATATTTTATGATAAGATAATATGACTGAAATTGTATTTAACTTATCCACTTCATCCAGCACTCTTTATGTTTCCTTTCTTATACATTTTCCCCTTTATTATTGCGGTGTGTGTGAAACCACTGCAAATCATCCAGTGTGTGAGTGAACTGTCCAAATGAATCAAACTGAATTGCAAACAATTTCAGACCTTTTTGCAAACCCGTTTGACCGATTAGTTAAAAAGAGTGATTCATTTGCATATCTGGCACCACTAGTTCTGATTCTAAACAGTGGATAGGATACACATATGACTTGATTGATGAAATATTATCAGAGAAAATGATTCTCAGGTCGGTATACGACACGTCAATCCCATTGATACGTAAGGATCATCAGTAATATTTTACTGGGGCACAGCAGAATTTTACTGGCCTGGCCTGCATCTTTCTGCATGTTGGTTGAACCATGTGATGCTTTTTTGTTTTTTGGATCAAATAAGATCGAAAAAGGTTAAACTATTGGTCGATATTATTTGTTACCAAACTGGTTTAACCTAGAAAGCTCAAGTGCATTGCATTGTGGAATATGAAATATACAGTATGGTATTATGATTGTAGTATGATTTTGACCATATGACCATTAATGTTGCTTCTAATATATTGCCTTATCATAAATTTATTTGGTTGGTTGGTTATTTATTTATATATTTATTTATTGCCTACATGTTGGTTGAACCATGTGACTTTGATTTGCCTGCTGGTGAAAGGTTTTAAAAATGTATATATTACTTGACATTTTTTACTTCATGCTTTCCAAAAATATCAATATGAATTTTAATTTGTAAATTAACAACATGATTATTTTAGACATTAATTGTATGGATGAACTGTATGTACAATGTATTTTCAAATAAATTAATGGATAGGACAAAAAAGATTATCGCCACATCATTGGTTTATTCACAAAACATTCTGTTTTTTGTCCCTAAGCTGAAAAGAGATCTATGCCTCTGTTTCCATGAAGTTTGGCAGAACCAGTGAATTGTCTTGTATTTTCTGCTTTGGTAGAGTAAACATGGGAGAGACGGGGAGCAAGGTGGTGCTGAGGGAGATATCTGTGGACGGAGTCCAGCCCCAGGTAATCTCCATGCAGACATCAGCTTCATAGCCCAAACACATCTACAGAGAAATTGTGCATGGCCAAAACAACACAAATCCTTTTCTAACAAGTAAACAACAAAGACTAAACAATTAGATTATGACTTCTCTTGTTGAGTCAAAAGCAATGTACTAATCTGTTGATGCATCATTGTTTAGTTCATGACCATCTGTGCGTGCAAGGCTCACAGTGCGTTTCACTGCTATTCCATTAGCAATCCCTTTTGCTTTACTCAAAACTCACTAGCTGTGATGCTGCACAGGATGGGATCAAGATGCAAAGTCTCTCTCATTATTCCTCAGAATATAAATTTTTTATTATTACATGACAGTTTTTTTTAACTGGTTGAACTGGTTCATCTGACACTTGAGTTGTTTACATGGTAAAACCTTTTGAGACTATACTCTCTTTTTTACCCTCTACTGCATTTGTTCAGCACATTTAAAGGTGTTATTTAAATTTAAAAAATCATTTATTAAAATACATTTATTTTCTGTAATTTTACTAATGAAAGAATGTTTCAAATCAAATAGTGATGCCCTAATACTATTTTATTATATTATATTGTTTAGAAACATTTATCATACAATAAATTTTGTATTTTTGTAACTGTGGATATTATTTTATTTTATTAACTTTGGAGAGGATGTCAGTGCTATATTCAGAATTCAGTAATCTCACTGTTGGGGTTTCTTTCAGCCTGCTGTCAAACCCTGCTGCTCCTGTTAATCCCAATGTACCTCCAGGTCAGTTGGTCCAATCACGACCTGCTATAAGAGTCACATGTCAGGGTCCTTGGATGAGTGGAGTGCAGTAGTGTAGGTTTAGCGCCTGCAAATGGCCTGATAAGATTTGTGTTGGAGAATATCTGCCAAAAGACTTGCCAAATGAGTGACTTGACAAATGTTAAATGTAGACAACATGTGACCCAAATTCAAAAACTTGTTCAAAAAACAGTACATATATCCTTGGGTCCCTTATGTAACCTTTCCTGTAGTCCCCTCAGGCATGTCCAATGTTGACGTTCACTTTATGTGATTAAATGCTCTTGCAGGATGAAGTCTGCCATGTCTTGTCATCTTGTGACACACAAAAATTCTCATGAGATTTGAAGTTTGATTCTCCATACGTGGGAAGTCTAATGGTTCAGAGAAGGGAACGCACTAAAAGCGGAAAATCAGCAGCCAAGTGAATCGATTTGCAGGGATTAAGATAAAGAACCGCTCTGGTCTGATGGGGTTTAGAGGGGTAAATCTTGGGATTATGATGTCAGGTCAGGCGCTGTGGTGGAAATTGAATTGTCAAAGGGAATCTGGCGGCCAGGATTATGCCACAGTCAGTGTGGCGATGGCAAGAGTTAGATCTGTGTCTACCCAGTGGTACCTAGGGTGTGACTGCGATGGAATGGGGTTTTCCACTTCAGAAGAGAAGGAATTCCATACAGAATCTGCACACTTTGGATTAGAACAGCTAGTTGAAATAGAGTCATATATACACATAATATTACAGATGGACCTTTACTTCTGGTGAGTGTAATTATATTATGTGTTGTTGTTTTAAAGAGTTTTGGTCAGCAACTACTTACATCATAATTTGTTCTCCTTGGCTAACTTTATCGGTTTTTGTTTGGCTTTTTCTTGCAGTCATTAATTATAATATTTTGAATGACTCACAGCATGACGAACGGAGTAGACCCAGAGATGCACTGTGCTTCATTTTCTAATTTATTTTAGTTTTGGAGTGTGGAATTGTGATTGATTGCATTGGGATGTTATAATATTAAGTAGCACAAGTGTTTGCAAAATGGCTAATTATAAGAAATGTTTCTTGAGCACCAAATCAGTATATTAGAATGATTTCTGAAGGATCATGTGACACTGAAGAATAAAGTAATAACTCCTAAAAATTTTGCTTTGCCTTTTAAGGGTAATACATTTCATTTTAAATATATTAAAATAGAAAGCAGTTTTTTTTATCAAATAATTGCAGCCTTGGTGAGAATAAGAGAAGCATTTAAAAAAACTTACAATCCCCAAACATTTGAATGGGTGTGTATATATAGTGAACTAAAATAGCCCCCCAAAAAGTTTTCCTACCGTTAATCCTCCAATGTTTTTATCCATTTTAATAGCCGACACCAGCACTTGCCATAGACGGGTTAACTAAAACCAGCAAGATGAAGGTGAAATGGACCCAACTGGGCCTGGTGTTTTTCTTGCTGTTGTCCATCGTCATGACTTCTTGCTTCATTTGGCAGTACCAGCTGCCCAAGTTAGTGCTAGGTGAGTGAGTTGTCCACAGGTCATGTGTTAACTAACGTTTACTTGCTCAGACAACAAGACTCCTTCCTTGTGAAAGCCTTAAGTCACACTTATAAACTTTTAAAGAAGATAGAATTATACAAATCTCTTTCGCAGTTTTATAAATACTCCTACTGAATAAACTATAACAAAAATCGGTCTGTTTTGGTGTCAGATGTGCATGTCTGAGAGGTTACACGAGGCGCGATTAGTAGATCCTATTATCTGCTGTCTCTGAGAGTGGGGATTGACTTTGAATGCTAAAGATGGAAGACTGTCTTCTTTTCTAGGTGAACATGCAGTGGAGCTACATACTGTATGTAAAGCAGATTTGTGCTGCTTAATCTATAGACCTAAAGGCAGTAATGTATTGAGGCCGATTCCCGAAACCACAATCAAGTTTAACCAGGCATTATGTAAATGTGCTAAATCACTGGTCTTAAACTAAATGGAAAATAGAAACAAAAATTTGAAAGTTGAAACATTAAAATTACTAATTGGTAAGCTGAAGCCAAAACTGAAATAAAAACAAATGAATCCTAAATATTAATATTAAAATAGACAAAAACACAAAACAAAAGTAATAAAAAATAAACTGATAATAAAATAAAACTAATAAAATAAAATAAACTGAAAATATAAAAATACAAGCTTATTCAAAATATTAATCAAAACTATAGTAGTATATAAATAATATTAAAATAGCAGTGGTCATTGTAATTATTTTAAGTGCAAACACAATCTATAATAAGCAAGTTCTCATTAGGTATGCCAGTGTGCCTCATGCTCAACAACCTGACACTCAGAACTGGCCTGCAAAATGGATAATTGCAGCATGCTATTTGCATTGAGCACCAATTTTGTGTCCATTGCCTGATTTGCATAATTATTTTAGTCATTTGGTGCCTGTGCAGTTCATTCTTAGTGAATTCAACTCTAATAAGTTTATTCCCTTTATAAAGATGAATTTCTTCTACCCACATGATGGCTTAAATTTTATTCTCAAATGTTGTTTACATGTTTTTCATGCTTTTCAATCAAGTTTATTTACATCATGCATGATACATTCTTCTATATTTTTTTAAACCATTAAAATGTGTCTATATTTAGCTAGAAAAATGATTAAATGTATTCATGCAGACCTTTGTCTCTATCTGTTCTGTTATGGAAATTAAAGTGGGGCTTATTATTTGTATGTGTATTCAAAATTGATCTGTCACCTTTTTCATTCATTGTTTGAGCTCATGTTGCAATTTTGTTCGATTAGGAACTAAATGTGCTCTCTTCACTAAATTTCAATGTTTATGCAAAATTCCTTAAACATTTCTCTAAGTTTTTCCTCTTGCACTGTTCACTTTCTCTCTTTTTATATATTTGTATGACTGTGTGCTCACTCTTAAGAAGAAAATACTGGGGAAAGATCCAAATCTGTGAGAATGTGCCCTCGCTTCCCAGAGCCCACATCTCTTGAACACCCCATCCCCTCTTTGAAGGAGGCGCTTGAGAAGGTAAGCATGTGAAGATCGAAAACTAAAGCCTACACTGCCCAAAAATCATATTTAACCAGTATTTTTGTGCTATGATTTTACCTTTTGTAGGATTACAACATTTTATCTCCTAGTTTGCTTTCTCCTTATTCAAAAACTCAAGTCTATAGTTATATCTAGATCATTATTTCAAAATGTCCCCTCGCACTTTAAATGCGATTAGAGCAAAAGCCTTGGCTGAAAGTGCACCAGCTTATAAATGCTGTTCCTTCATCTGTACCTGTGGCCATTAAAAGCATAAAACAGCTTCATTGCTCTTGAAAGCAGCTGTAAAAAATAATGTACTGCTGCTGGAGGCATTCGTGACAGCACCTTAAAAATGTGTTGCCTGAAATGAAATTAAAATGTCAGCTTTTGTAATCAATGTAAAGTATGAATATGAGAGAGCCACATAATGATCAGAGTAGTTTGACACAATATTTAGACAAAAACATTAGAAAATATAATTCATTTGGCATCATTAAGAGTGTTGGCTCATAGAATAAGTACTTAAAAAAAAAAAAAATGCTCTCAGTATTTAAGGGTTTTATTATTATGTTGAAATGTGTAATTTCTGTGCCACTAGCTTCATCAAACGGAATCACAAAAGCATTGACAGCCATTGGTCGGTTCGACAGAATGTTCCGCCCTAAACTCATGCCATTGGTTGAGCCTGATTCTGCTGGTCAGCATGCTTAACAGAGCAATGTTTTGAATGCCACTGTGATATTTCAGGGAAATCGACATATGTCTGGCTTACTTGTATTTGTGTGTTCTGGAAATATATACTACTGTTGGAATCAGTATGATTTTTTTAAAGAATATAGTGATTTTTTTATTCAGCAAGGATGCATTAAATCAATAGTTTATTTTAACATGGAGCACATTACACAAATCACATTTCACTTCAGCTACATGTTATGCATGTCAGAATCACTGCTGGCAAATTAATTAATGTAATAATGTCTTGTCATTTGTTTAGGTTGACGCACTGCTGCGGAATAACATCAACCCCATCAGTCTGCCCTCATTGTCAGCTATTGTTACTTACAATGGCACAGTACTGTGGACAGGGAACTTCGGCAACAGAAATGGTAGTGATCCAAACTCTGCACCACCAAATGAATACACCGTTTACAGGTAAGGTACATTTATCTATTATGTTTTTCCATATATATATATATATACATACATATATGTGTGTGCGTGTGTGTGTGTCATATTTTGTACATTTTTTGAAAGTTACATTCACTAGAAGATATTTTCGCGCTCCATCTGAGTAAAAATCAAGTTTTTTGCACCTACTTAGACCTTCTCAAGTCTGTATTTAATTCAGTGTGCGTCTAGCAACCTCTTTTTGCATTGAAAGTTACATTCATATTCACTTTCTTTTTGGTTATTGGTTAATATTGGTTAATAAGAGATATGATAAACTTGCCTCTGCATCACCCTCATACAATAAAGTCTGGCACAGAGAGGAAACGTTATCATAATTGCCAATTAAGTGTCTGTGTGTCTTTTTTTTTTCACTTTTCCCCCTTCTCAAGGGTCCTTGATTTGGGCCCATATAGCTGCAATCATTCAAGCATCATCACCTAAGAGCTATGCTGCTCTTTTTCATTGACGGAGCACACATCTCCACATTTAGAGCTCAATTATATACTTGGCCTGATTTAATCAGTCCAAATCCACTTCTAATTTGCTCATTTTACTTTATAGATTGGAGCTGTCATTTCAAGCACCACAGTTTAGTGTTGTTGCAATTTCAAAGTGGACAAAAGAAAGCTTGTTTTCTCTATTGAAAACCATGTTCATTTGTTTTTAAATTTAGGCACATGTGCACTTTTAAAAATCAGAACCAAATGGACATGAATACCAGCACTATTTTAAAGCACATATTGAAGCAATGCATAGATTTGATCATTATATATATTCAAAAGGAACATCCACTCCAGAGATTGTAATAATAGACCTTATTTCTATCTGAACTTTGGCCTCCAAAATTACATTTGTACAGTTTATATTAAAGGGAAAGGGTTTGTACAAATATTCAATAATTTGCTTTCACATCACGCACACATTTCCCTTTTAGTTTATAAAACCTCTCTATGGACTGTATTGTGCTGTATTTAAGGCCAAAGCTTATTTATAATGGTCCTGAGGGTTGGCAGCTGCATGGTATGGTTTTGAATACAGATGATAAGGCTGGTGGTTTTATCAGAGCTTGAGAATGTATAGCCACTTTCTCTGCTTTCTGAGAAGTAATCTTTTCTGAGTCACTGAGCTGATTTTCTATAGTTATAGCTGTAAGGATAATCTTGTACACAACCTGGCAATTGTTTTCAAGACTGAAACTAGAGTAATGGATTATGGAATGGTTTTATGGCATTTTCAGAGTCAAGGGTATTCACAAATATAATCCATCTTTGAGTTGCGAGGTGTTTTGACCTGTGTTATGCTCACATGGCTGAGGAGTGTATAGGATTTATGAGGGCACACTGTTAAGAGATGTAATTTTCATGGTTCAAAAGGCTGAGTATGAGCTCATAAACTACTCAATGCCAGTTTCAGTGTTAAGTTCTGACACACACAGGGTTGGCCAGCCAATCAACACTGCACAATGCAAAAGACTTAACAAGTCAGGAATTGTTAAAAGCCTTTTCATGAACATGTGAAGCCTAATACGACAGTGAAATAATTTGGAATTATGACATTTTTATTGAAATAAATAAAATAAAATAAAAAATGTTTTATTGAAAGAAAAAAAAAACACCAATGAGTCAGAAAAGGTTTACCGTTCCATTTACCTATACTGTTAAGGATTTTGTGATGACATCCTTTGATGCTCAAAGTAGCATTATACTTCACTTGATGTCTAGCAATTCTATTGCATTTTCATGATTAATAATTCAATTTCATTGCTGAACTTATAGCACCAATGCAAAAGCTCTTATTATGTTCTCAAAGCTTATGATAATTTTCATAAATAATAAAAATCTTATTTTGAGCACACTGAATATAGACAATGTCTGAATCTGCTGCACGGTTGCCTCGTCTGTAGGATTGCCAGTGTTTCCAAGATCTTTCCCACCCTGATGCTGTATCGACTGTGGGAAGATGGCAAGGTGGCCTCTCTGGATGACCCCCTGGAGAAGTATGTGGACAACTTCACCATTAAAAACCCCCTGGGCAAAAGCAGAGACTCTGAGCTGAAATACGTCACTGATGGTCTGATCTTCCTTGACAGCGGTGAGGTTCAAATCCGATCGTCGTCTGTAACATTAAGAAGAATGGCCAGCCAGCTTTCTGGTAAGTTTCCAGCTTCCAGTCTTGTGTCAAGAAGCAATTCCATGATTGCGCAATCACCGAGCGTTGGAATAACAACATTGTTTATTCACAGCATGTAATAGCCATAGCAGCAGGTCAAAATTAATGTTTCTCTGAGCTCAGCGGTGGGCCTGCTGTTTGACCTTAATTACTAGTGGTGAACACGGACAATTAAGTGGGAAAACTCAAGAGCTCAGAATTAAAAACAAGAAATTATTCTATTGCATTTTCACAGTAATGAAAGTAATGTAGCTGTAGTGACTGGTGATGCCTTCACTTACTTGATGTGTGTAATTACTGATCACAGCTGCTATGCCTGTATGCTAGTTAAAATGAAATGCAGATATTAATTTAAATCCTTTCAGTGCAGAAATTAAACCGTCTTTAATGTAGAAAGCTCTCATCAGCGTTAAAGTCTATTGCTGTTGCTGTCTTTAGTAGTTTGTTGTTGTTCCATCTCATCAATTTTTTTTTTCAACTGTAAAACAGTGGAAAAGGACAGTGTTCTGACCTTACTTTGCTGATGATGAGATTTAGTTCAAACACACACTGAATGCATACATTAGCGTACAAAGTATATTTTGGGCTTTAGAACTAAGAAGAGTTTTTCATACTGTGCCTTCAAAACTTCAGTGTAAATGCTCACAAGCCGCTGCTTTTTTAATTCCAATATAGGTTGCAACTGTCCAAAATCCTTCAATTACTGTTTATTTGCAGAGCCTCCATTACATTTATCCTACTTCATCTGTATTTCCTCACTGTAACTTGGGAAGGCCAAGTTTCAAATGTAGAAATTTAAATGATTTATTCTGGCTTATGAATTAGTATTCAATAAAATTATTGTTGTGAATGTACAGGACAAACTATTTTTGCTGCTCAGTTTAAATACATGCTCTTACTTTGGAGAACGTTTTGTGTTCTGAAAGTTTTTGTTCATGTTTTGACCCCTTTAAAAGAACATGAATTTCCCTAAGCTGCAAATGTTCATGTGATTGAAGCAAATTGCTTTTTAAAGAGTCACAAATATGCATTAGTCACAATATTGTATTTTTTGCAGGTCTACCCCGAAGACTCCGTGGAACTACCTTGCTGTGGAAAGGGAAGACCAAGTCTGCAATCAACCTCCTGCAGGATGATGTGCTCGTTGCTGATCCAGGGACCAAGTAAATTTCCGCCGCATTAATTTAGCTGATTTATGTAACCAGATTTGTTCCTTTCAGCTACTTTAAACAAACTCATTTTGTGTCATCTGAATTGCTGTTTCTTTGTGGAAAGGTTATGGACCATGACGATAATGATAATAACTTTTCTGTTGTCTCCTAATAATACTCCTTGGAGGCTTATAGAAGACATAACATACTGTTCTCTTCGATTTTCTCTGTTAGATGTCACTACAGCAATTTGGCATTCTCTTTGCTCGCCCATGTCCTCTCTGAGAGAGTTGTCGGTATCAATTACCAGCGATGGATTACGGATAACATTCTGGGCAGGTTGGGAATGGAGGACACAGGGTTTGACATCAACCCTGGTATTCAAAGTCAAATGGCTGTAGGTGTATACGCCAGTGGCCAAACGGCACCTCTTTATGACTTGGGTTGGTACCGCCCCTCGGGCCAGATGTATTCAACAGCTGCTGACATGGCTAAATTATCAATGATGTTACTGGGAGCCTATCACCGCAAGCTATTGGAGCCCGACACTTTAAAAATGATGCTAATGCCTTTGTTCCGCTGTGAAAAAAACTACTTCGCCAACCGCACCGGAACGCCGTGGGAAGTGAATGAACAGATGGGATATGAGGTGCTACGCAAGGATGGCGATCTAGACGGCTACTCCGCTATGTTCTCTCTGGTGCCTCGCCTTAAGCTTGGATTGGTGGTGCTAATGGCAGGCACACGGCCACAGAACCAGGATATGGTTTCAAAGGCCTACTCATTTATCATTCCTGCCATGGAGAGGGCCTTCAGGGAAGCCAAGCAGTTTCTTGTTCCTCCGCCCAATCCTGCACCCTACGTGGGCTTTTACACTTACAGCAACATTACGTTTTACGAGATTAAAGCGGGGCCAGATGGTGTCTTGATCATGCAGCAGTTTGGACCTCAAATAGAGGATCTCATCCCTGAGCGGTATCGGACCATTAAATTGAATTACCTAGTGGACCGAGTCTTTAGAGTCATGTTCGAGAAAGAATATCCTTGTGTGCTGCATGTCAACACCGCGTCAGTGTCCCTCGAAGCCCAAGATGGGCAGCTGTTTAACTTTTATGTCTTTGACAAGAAAGGCGTGTCTCCTGGATTCGACGCTCCAGGGCTCAACACATATAATGTGATTAAAATATCTCGCAGACCCACGTTCTCTAACTGAGGATGAAATGGTTTCTGAAAAACTGTGCTCTGAGACACTGGGGGTTTATTTATGAGTGATTGCATCAAATGATCACAGAGGATGGTTACCACTGTCATTGTTTTTCATGTAATAGCTTGTTTACCCTGCAAAGAAATGTCAGCATAACCTATTTGGTAACACTTTACAATAAGGTTCATTAGTTAGCATTAGTTAACTACTTTAGTTAACATGAACTAAGCATGAACAATACTTCTACAGCATTTATTAATCTTAGGTAATGTTAATTTTAACATTTACTAATGCATTATTAAAATCAAAAGTTGTGCTTGTTAACATTAGTTAATGCACAGTGAATTAACATGATTTTCATTAACTAACATTAACAAAGTTTAGTAACTACTGTAATAAATGTATTGTTCATTGTTTGTTCATGTTAGTTAATACATTAACTAACATTAACTTATGGAACCTTATTGTAAAGTGTTACCACCTATTTTTCCACACGTTCATATGCTTGTATATATAAAATAGTCCTTATATTTTCATATCCACTCGCCATTGTATATAAAAACCTTTTTGTACACTACTACGCTACTTCCTGAAACTAACATTATGAGTGATTCATGTGTTTTTTTCAAGCAAAATAACATTATTTGAATAATGGGCTCTTATGGAGACCTCATTGGGTTTATTGATCTCGCTAAATAACTGTCACATTTTCATTTTCTATGCTATTGCAATTGAATATCCAGAAATAAATACAGTTTCCAGTGCTCTAATAGTCTTTTATACAAAATAAGCCTTGTTTTAAGTCCCGTTCTATGTAGGAATATTAATGTGTGTTGGAATTTTCTGAAAAAGATTTGAGTGTGACAATCATTTTGAATGTAAATTTTAAACACGGTCAAGCTATAATTCATTGTTAGCATTGAAAGGTCATTATGCATTCATACCTCTAACTTTTAGAGTTTTGTACTTGTGTTTTTGATCTCCCGTATATATTCTTATGAATAAGAATTTAATTATGAGAATGCAAATGAGTTTTTTCTCCCAATTATTTGCTTAGGCTTAGTTTGTACAGTGGAATGAATACAATTTATTTACAAAAACATACCAAAATAAACCATGGGTATCTGCAATTGGAACCTAATTCTGCAGTATGGGGGAAAACTGGTGATTTGGAAAGACATACCCGCTAAAACTGATAATATATTCAAAACCTTTTTAATAGAGAATGCAAAATTGCTTTATTTCTATATTTGCGAATGATTTTGGTATGATATATGAACTTGGTGTTAAACCCATTAATGTTTTTTCTTCTCTCTATCATGTTCTATAAATTACAAATTACAAGTCTCCCTCTGAGACAGTGACCCATTCGTCTCTCATTTATGTCACAGCAGGACGAAGCTGCTAGATTAAACTGTCAGCAGGCAAGGTCAGTAACATGGGACAGAAACAAATAATGAGCAATGTTTGAAAGTAAAGCCACAGTTCTCCAATGTATTTAATAGTTACAATCCACAGTTACAAGAAATATTCTAATTCTCATGATGTTGAATTCTAGTGAAGCACTTAAACATTTATAAACCAACAATAAAACTCCATAGTTGCAACATTTAAACCAGAATCCCTGCACACAGCATTCTTGTACCAGACAAGCCCCTGCAGTTAATTGAAACATAAAATACACACTTTTCCATAATAGTCTGTAAAGATTAATGTGCCATGCAGCTCTTATTGTTCTATTTTCATGAAGTATTTTCCAAAGACTCGCTTCTGGCACAAGTATGCTACTTCCTCTCCTCTCTAGTGCTGGAGGAAAATAGATCCAAGGAACAGTGTGCTTTTTTTCCTTCTTTTCATGTCCCCATGACACAAATGACAAAAAGAACAACTCATTCCCAATAAGACTGATGGCGATTGTTTTGAAATGATTATTGTCCATATGACATTTTATACAGTAATACTGTTTCAATTTAGATGTGTAGGACAGACGTCCATCCACATGCTGACACAGACAGACAGACAGACAGACAGATAGACAGATAGATAGATAGATAGATAGATAGATAATTTTAATTTGTTTTAAAATTAAGATAAAGCTTATTTAGCACAGCGCATTGTATTTATACAATCAACATAAATAATCTACATGCATAAATCCTAATTTGAGTGAAAAAGCTTTGAATAAATAAACAAGGATAGTTATGCCTGTACACAATATGTGACCTTGGACCACAAAACCAGTCATAAGGGTTAATGTTTCGAAATTGAGATTTATACATCATCTGAAAGCTGAATAAATAAGCTTTCCATTGATGTATGGTTTGTTATGATAGGACCATATTTGGCCGAGATACAACTAACAATCTTTATTTTGATAGTCCACTTTAGACAATCTAATAACTAGAAATAACTTTACAACTACATGTCAACTAGCAGTCATTAGAGTAGACTGTCTGCTTAACATCAGCCAACATTATTTTGATGGTCTTTGCAAGTACACGTCAACTTATTCTACTAACTTTACCATATAACCTAACAGTCTACTAATTCTCTAATGAGAGTTAGTTGACATGTAGTTGCAAATTAATGAGAGGTAGTTGACGTGTAGTTGCATAGTTATTTATAGTTAGTAGAATGTCTAAAGAAAATAAAGTGTAACCCTGAATTATACAGAACATTTAATACAGACTTCATGGGGATTATACAGATGTCCCATTTAATTTTTAAACGGATGCATAGCAGCAATTTTGTCATCAATTAATCAATGACTTTGGTGTCTCCTGTTATTTCACTAATGTTCACAGGAACCGTATTATTGACCACGAGTGGCTTGATAACAAGTGGCACTTCTGCAAAATTGTACAGTGTTTTATTTTTGTTCCAATTTGTATTTATTTGGATAACATGACCATACTGGTTAGCATTAACTTAATTTGGTCTTTAGCTGCAAAAAGCCTGATAGACCATATCAATCCAAACCCAGTATGTGTCCATTCACATCTAGTTTTAAGGAATTGTCAATTATTTGCACATTATTGTAATTGACACATTTCACATCTATGTCTTTTTCTGTTCTTAGCGAGAGGTAACCAAAGCTTCCTATGTGAGATTGCAGAGCATGTTGTCTCACATGAAAGCATTCATTCTCCCGTCCCCACCCGCTGCTGATAATGACAAAAGGAAGTGGGCCGCTCGCGTTCCTGCTCTTAGCCTGGACGTTGGAGATCAGTGGGGGGGTCTTTGGGGAAGATGCAGAAAGGCGTCGAGTCATTACGAGAAGAGCTTGATGACAGGCGACTCCACACCAGTGCTTTAAAGCGCTCCCGGAAACGACTGGAGAGAAGGTTGTAGATGATGGGGTTAACGGCGGAGCTGAGGTAGAAGAGCACGCCTGAGATTATGTGCACATATTCGAATATGTTATGCATGTGGTCCGTCCAACTCGTGATGAAGCTCCACAAGAGTCGGTCAATGTGGAAGGGAGCCCAGCAGATGGCAAACACTAATACCACCACAACTATAGAGAGAGAGAGAAGGAATCAAGTAAATCAATGTTACAATTGAAATGGACAATTTTTGTGATTAATTCAGTGTATAGAATAGGTGTACGGTTAATTGCATTTAGTTCACTACAGTTTCAATGTAATTGTATTATGAGACATTGTTTCAAAGGAACTTTACGAAAATATATTGCTTATGAGCAAGATAAAGATGACAGTAGCAAGGGAATGTTTTCTGATGTTGTGGTAGGGTGAGGAAGAAAGACTTTAAATTGTTCTATTAAAATGTAAATCACTCATTAAATAAATTAATTAAATGACTACATACTATCCAGCTATAAAATATTTATGGGCTAATTGTTTATTCAATTAAATGTAATCAATAGAGTGCTGCAGGCAGTACTGCTGATGCATCTCAATCTATTGTCAGAGACATTAAAGCAGAGTGAATTTTTAGGTTGGAATCTTACAATAATATATAGTAAAACTGAAGGGGTGAGTCATGCAAGGCACTTTAATTGCGCGGAAGTAGTGTTGAAGTCCAACTAAAGATATACTTAAGTATATTTGATTGTGCTAAAGTGGAACTACTGCAAGTATACTTTAGGTACACTTTAAATATCGTGCATTTAAAGTCCGATATTATTGAAAGATCATATCAATAGTGACATTAAAATCCATTTTAGGGATACTATTAAGAAAAAAGTTTAATTATAATTTTTATATCAGTAAGTCTTGAGCGATATGTCAGTAAAGTTAATAGATTTGAACTATACTTAGTATGAAATAAATGCATTTTAAATATATTACTTTTTTACTACTAAATCACGAGGCACTTTCCTTTTCAGGATAAAAAAGCACTGCTAATGCTTCTCTCAAACACTTATAATATAAAGAAACCCTATAATAGCAATGTGATGAGCTTATAGTTGAGTGTATAATTGAATAGCTTTAATGGTGAGTAATTTGTGCCATTACATTTTGTAATTGTATAGACATATGCGCTATAAAAGCAGATGAAAGTGTCTTGCTTTTAGATCCCTTACATTATGTTGGTTCACTTTACTTTGCGAGTCTTACCAGAGCAGAGAGCCATGATATGATCATAACACCTGCTAAAAACTGAAAGATGCTCTGGGAATAGCATCATCGCCATTAAGGACAGGCATACAGAAGATGTGAAACACTGTAAGCAAGGGATTTCTTTTTTTTTTTTTTTTTTGGTTGGTTGGTTGGTTGGTTTTGGACAATTGTTTGGCTAGAGATTTCACTGCTCCATAATTTACACCATGCAGATAGATGTTTTCAGACATCTAAGTGACGCTTTTACAGTGGGATTTAGATTTGCCAGTGGATTAGGGATGCTACTAATTTGGATTTCCCATAATAATGTCCAAAAGGAAATAAAAAGGAAATGTTATGTTTTTAAAAATTCTCTTTTATGAAAGTGTAAACCCATCAAAAGATAAAAAGGCTTTTGTTTCTTCTCTGAACCATGCCTTGCATGACTCACTGCTTTAGTTTTACTATACAGTATATTAATGATAGATTTGAACCTAGCAATTATTTCTGCATTAATTTCACTGGCAATAGAGTGAGATGCCTGAGAAATACTGCTATTGTGTGGCCTTCCACACAATA